GAATGTAAGGCAAGAGACTTCTACCCTAAAACGCATCCGCTTTGTGTGAATTCATGCAGTTTTCAATTTTTGGTTTTTTTTCTCTTCTTGGTTGGTATATCTCAAATGTAGGAAAACATTGGTAAACTACTGACGCAAATTATTTTGTTTCCATTTAGATGCATGCCGTCATTAGAGTTATGTTTCCAGATGATAGATAAACTATTTCTTTTTCAGCTCAAGGAAGTTGACATCAGTATTAAATGATGGAGCAAGAAATTCAAGATATTATGGACAAAATTAAGTTTTTAGAAGTATCAAGCGCAGATTTGGTAACTAAATAGTTCAGTAGAATGATGGATGAAACCAATATTTAAGATAGTATATAAAATGAATAATAAAAAATCCAATTAAGAAAAAAAAGCAATATGCATTTACAAAAACATTTCGTTTACACAATAACATGACAAAAATAATATATTCATATGCACAATGCACGTACAAGCTTGAACTACTACTATGCTTATTTCTGATATATCTTTATTTGGCACACCAATAGATAAATGCGAGGAAAACCAATTTTGTTATAAATCAAATGTACACGACATTGTTCACTATATTAACGGTATAAATTATTTCAGTAAACTAGTGTATGCATTTTTTTTATTTCGGTTCATTTATATGTTTCGGAATTTAGTGTGACGTCCATTTTCTATGACCTAGTACACATTTTTGTTTAGAGGCCAGCTGAAGCCCGCCTCCCGGTGCGGGATTTTTCGCTGTGTTGTAGACCCATTGGTGACCTTGGGCTGTTTTCTGCTCTTTGGTCGGGTTGTTGTCTCTTTGGCACATTCCCCGTTTCCATTCTCAATTTTAGGTTTAGAGTTGATTAAGATCAAATAAACTAGCATTAAGCACCAAAAGGACTACTGTAGAATCTAATTGAAACCTTAGGCAATCTAATGATTTTATGGACAAAGTGTATAGATACTTATACATTTTTTAAGACAGTCAGTTTTTGTTTTAGACCGTTTAATTTCTTTTTATGCTTCAGTTTGCTGTCTTAACATTAACAAATGCTGCGATGAACATGTGCATAAGATTTAGTTTAAAAAATCGCAGCTTTATGATTCTATTTAATACTTAAAATTATTGCAATAAGAATTGATTTCACGAATTTCGTGTACAAATAACTTTTTAACGTCGGTTCATTTATTATGACGTCGGTGATATGTCCGGGTTAAAGGTATTTAGGCCGGGTTAACAAAATAACATAAACGTTACCAATTGTTCTGCACCATATGCGCGTTTCGACAATCAATGTCTCTTCAGTGATGCTCGAGGTCAAAATATTTGAAAATCCAAAGCTTATTAAAAAGATAAAGAGCCAGAAACCAAAAAGGACAAAAAAAGTATAGCCAAATCCGGACAAAACAGAGCCGGACAAAACGCAACAAAACTGTGGTATGCAATTAAATGAAGAGCTTATCAGAGAGGTACAGGCAGTGGGGACACCAATAAATTACGATATCAATTGATAAAAAACCCGAAAGACATATTCTATCTAATTAGCTTGCTTAGTCTTAGTTATACCATACCGTGGGAAATTTATAAAGCCACCGATATTAATATATAATAGACAACAGATGATAGCTTCATAACATTTAAATAATATTGCTGTATAAATAGACAGTGGTTGTCGTTTTTTTTATCTTTGTCATATCTCCTGTTTTGCGGGGAAACAAAACCCTAAAACCTATAGAATAGAAACCCTGCTTTACTGTGACGTTAACGACAAAATTAGATATATAAGTAATTCGTGTAAGTTTGAGGTATAGAATGATTTCTATCACGAAAAAGAAACAATTAAAATTTGTGGTACATCCAACGTATCTAAAAAAAAATTAATTAGATTAGGTTTGGAAGCGAGAAAAGAAGACAAGATTTAACACATTTGAAATAAAAAGCTCATCAGAAAAATATTAGAAAGTAAACTAAAAACGTATGTAAAAAAGTACAATAAAAATACCGAACTCCAAGGTAAATGCAAAAAAGGGGAGGGGGAAGGAAATAAAGCTCATAAAGTCAACCGATAGACTCTATCAACTAACGGAACGAATGGAACATAAATGTCATATTCCTGACTTGGTACAGGCATTTTCCAAAGACAGTTGTGGGTCAACCCTGGTTTTAAAGCTAGCTAAATCTCCCACTTGAATGACAATTGTTTATAACTCCTTTATATTGACAAAATTGAGACATAGATTAATGTAAAAACAATTGAGAGACAGCAGCCAAAACTGTAAACATACATCACAGACATACAAATCAACTGACTAAAAATTTATACAATTATTCAACTATATCAAACAAAGACGCCAACAAAAATGTTTTTGTAGTTGATAGTACATACAGTATATAGTATACACTTTATCGATAATGTACAAATTAAGTAAAATATAAAAACAAAATGAAAACAACACTGTAAAAACCTCTTGCGTCCGAATCGCACATTTTGACTCAACTGCATCTGGATATTGAAACGCCAAAAGCCGAAAACCCAACAAGACATTAATAGTGATATAAATATCGATTTTTTCACAAATATCATATTGATTTCATTTGCCGGAATTTGATAAAAAGTACAATTTCACGTTTAGATTTGTACAGTAATGAAATTCAAAAAATATCAAGAATAAAAATTGTATGTTAAATCTTTTTAAGTACACGGACAAGTTGCCATAACTTAATTTTTAGTTTGATATAATTATTGATAAAGGTGACAGTTGAACTATTGTTTTAAAATCATTGTGTCTGATATATATTTAGATTGATATCAAATTTAAAAAGACTTTCCTGTCTTTGTATAAAATGTTTGTACACTACTGATGTATTTGGCTTCGACAGAAATCATCTGTACTTTTGTGACCATTTGTTGTTATGTTGTTGTGTCAATAGCCTGTCAATTAGTGTATATGGAGTTAAATACACAAAATAACCACCCTTCCCCTATTTAGATTTTTTCTGAGAAGTTTCGTCGTATCACCATCTTGAAAGTTTGCAAATGTTCCTGTAGTATGTGAACTTTTAAATATAAAAGACAGAAAATAACAAGGGGACAATTCAAATGTCATCAAATCGAAAAATGACAAAAAGATAAACTACAGTCTATTAACAATACACAGAAAACAAAAGATTGAGCGATACGAACCAATACAATAACGGAGTGATCTCAAGTACTCTGTAAGGGCAAGCTTAAATGTATAAACAAAAAAAATAGATGATACTGAGGGTCAAATAACAGCTATAAGTCGAAGAAAAACACCACCATTGAAAGACAGAAAGAAAAATTAAATCAAAGAGCTGAAAGCTCTGAGGAAAAATGACGCCATTGTCTCTAATATTATAGGAGTCTTGATTTTCACATAATTAGTTTAACATTGCAACATGTCTCGTAGCATATAATTGATATTCTTTGTGTGAGTGTGTGTAGTGAAGATGACAACTGGCTGTTTTTTGTACAAATAAATAGGTCTAGACTACCTGAATGATCTACAGTATCCAATGACTACTGGCTGTTCTTTTGTACAAATAAATAGGTCAAGTGTAATTGAATGATATACAATATCCAATGACTACTGGCTGTTCTTTTGTACTAATAAATAGGTCTAGTCTGCCTGTATGATTTACAATATTCTATGTAATGTGATTTTTTCTTCCTGTAATTACATATTTCTAAATCAAGAATACATTTACAGACTATCTTATTCTTTGTAGTATTGCTTGTAAACAGAATGATTATGAAGAACCTGTAGTAAGCAAGCTCTTAGACTCCATATACTCATTAAATAAGTTACTAGTGACCTAGTTATTTCTGATACTTGAAGCAAGTTCTATTGCTGTAGATATAGACAAAAGTATAATATTGTTATACTAGTTTAATTTCACCTTGGAGATAGACAAATAGGGATATTCCTTTCATTTTTTATTGCATGTCAGGCAGGTGGCTTTATATGAAACTTGAAACCATTTCTCTGCCATAATGTTAATTTATAACTCTGCCCTTGACCCATATAATTGATATTCATTCTTTATCATATATCATAGTCATATGTGGTAGTATTTGATTTTGTACCTCTACACCATCTTTCAGGTTAAATGATATGTCTGTCTTCATTTGAGTAAATGACATTGAACCATCATGGTATTGGACACAATTTCAATAGTGATTATGCTGTTATCGTGGGTCACCATATATTGAACTTGGATGTCACTCCAGTTATTGTAATTTGTGTCAGTTTAGAACAATGATCTAGACCTCTAGGAATGGATCTTGTAATTTACAATGGTTCATTCAACTCGATTGACTGGCAATTTAATATAAGTTTCATGTATAGTTCAAGGTTGTGATTTATTTCTTCGTTATTTTCAAGTCATTATAGAAGGGTTGTTCTTACAAGACCAGTTGCCACATTGTACTGTTTGGAACAAAGTAAGTTCTATCCTCTGCCTTGGAATATTTCAAATTGTACACTGTTTACTGCAACTGGGGTTTCATCAATATTGATCAAGTTGTTAACTGGGAGTTGTGCTTACTAGATCTATTGCAATATTTTGCAATGTTTAACTAATATAGTTCAATTATCCACCTTGGAATATTATAGGCCAGGATTATTTTCTTTCATGCATATTTTGGTGTTTTTTGTTAAGTTTCATTGATATTGATTGAGGAGCTTAGTTTATGAAACCTGTTGTTTCATATTGCAATATTAAACTAAATAAGTACAATTATCTCCCTTGAAATAATTGGACTAGGATTATTCTCCTTCAAAGATATCAACAGACTGTTTTTTAACTGTGTTAAGTTTGAATAGTATTTGTGAAGAAGAAGTTGGGCTAACAAGACATATAGATAGACATACTGTGGGACAGTGATTCCTATAGACAACCTAAAACTTTGGTGCAATAATTCAGTCTGTTCATATCTACAGTGGCTGATGTCTTTTTATTCATAACAAATATTGAAATTGAAAAGTATTTATTCTATATGAAGTAAACATAGAATTACATCATAAAGTATTAACAAACTTTTAACATTCTAAATGACATGCTGAGCAGTATTAACAAAAATAACAAGAAGTATGTATTGTAAATGAATTTAAACATAGCAACATCATATAGAAGATATCAGTCATTTTTATTTTTTTATAATGCTTGGAATTCACGGACATACTTGAATATTAACTTAAATGTGATGAATGTTTAATGTCATATTATTGCGTAGAAAAAGGTATGCATATGTACCATTTGATAAAACCAGATTGTCTCATTACTATTGCACTAGTTAAACTTTATGTTATATTATTGCACTATTTTATATACATTTAAAACATTAACAAACTATCTTAACCATACATAATATAATAAAAAACATAACAGGTAAAAAATTGTATAAACAGCTGGAATGCCTATAAACTCGTAGCACCAAAACACAAATTTTGTTATGAAAACATTAAGTTTATAAGATAGGGGATATGGACTTATCACTTATCTATTGAGAATATATTGTTATATCTAAGCAACTTATAATGCACCAACAACTATACCTCAAACTGTATAGAGACTTGAGAGTTACAACAAATATAAATAAATATATATAAAAAAACAGATAAGCCTTGCAATAACAAATATAATATGGAATGATATGATTTTAATGAGAGACTGGCATACTTGGAGTCTAATGATGATGTTGAATACTGTATTTGGAACATTAATATTTGACACTGGAGGCTATATAAAGGAAAAATTAACATCCATAATATTGAGGAAGTTTTGTTTGTTATTTGATCCACTGGTTTTGAAGGGTATTTTCATTTATGAAACAATAACTTGCTAAACTTTAATGTACCAGTTAATATATCATCAAGATGCACCAATTCAGTATTTCTATTAAATTCAACAACAATGAACAATATTTACATAACATAGTATAGCACAGTATGTACATATTTATATGAATGCTGATTTCCATTTCTGTGTTAACATTAAAATGTAAATAATATTTAAAGCATTCCTAATACTGTGAAAGGGATAAGGGACTTATCAATTATCTGTTTAAAGTCGGCATAGATAAAATAAATCTCTTATAATGCACTAAAAACGATACATTACAGTGTATTTCAAACTATAAAATAGGAGTTGTAACAAATATCAATATCAAATAGAGATCACATGGGACATAATGTAAAAAGTTTTCAAAAAACAACCTTAGTTATAACAAATAAAATATATAATGAGATCATATAATATGGATGGAAGACTGGAATATTTTTAAGTGGACCATAGATTATCTAACACTTTGTGATATTACAAAAATATTAACTTTCATAATATTTGCAAGTTTTGCATCCTTTTACTTCCTGCACTTTCATTCCTATTCAATCAATACAATCAATATTTCACTAATATACACCAGTTAATGTATTTCTATAACAATTAATTAAACCATAAATATTTACATTTCATAACTTATCGTAGTATGTACATGTTTATACTTCTATAAATTGTTGTATAATTTTGTATAAGTTAATCAAATCTAGCCATTGCTAGGAAACTTCCCATGACTGAATAAAGGATATATGCATACAGGATCATTTGTAAAGAAGACATTATTAACAATACAAGATAATTCTCCATTTGCAATAACTTTTGAATAACAATACTGTGTGAATAAAAGTAAATATCATTTCTGTACAAAATCCAAAATTAATAGTTAGTTTTTCGAATACAGATTTTGTATTGAACTTTCATTATGAACTGCGCTCAATTTGGCAGTGAAAATTTGAAAAAATGTAACTGCACTCAACTTTGCAGTACATTGAAAATTCTAATAATAGGGTGGTTTTTGATAAACAGTTTCTAAGGAACATATCTTTTTTCAAAATATTAAATAATGTATTCAACTTGGGTGTAAATTAAAAATTCTAATAAAGTGTGGTTTTTGATGTACAGATTCTAAGACAAATAACTTTGTTCAAAATATAAATTTTTAAGACAGATTTTGTATTAAACTTTCATTATGGACTGCACCCAATTTGGCAGTGAAAATTTGAAGAAATATAACTGCACTCAACTTTGCAGTATATTGAAAATTCTAATGAAGTGTGGTTTTTGATGGACTATAATTTTGATGAACAGTTTTATATGGTATTTTTAATCCATTGTCACTGATGAAATAGTGTTATTCCCTGATACAACAATCACAGCATTGAAGGGAATCATTCCTTCAATCACTGTTTCTGCTTGTTCTTCATCACTAACAACTTCTCTAAGGGCATGTAGGGGGCATTTATAGTCAGAGTAAACATCATCTTGTTTACAGACAAGAATAATATCATCCTCTTCCTTGTAGAATCCATCTATAACCACCTTGTGTTGTTCTGACACAAACTGCAAAATAAAAATTTGGAATACAATATAACATTAGCAGGACAGATAATTTGTTAGTTAAGCTTTTTATATGTTTATTATATTTATGTCAATTATACATGTAATTAATTATTTTATATGTGATTTCTAAGAAATACTTTAGATATTTGATTGCTTTGAAAACAGGAAAACAAATTGAACTAGTCGGAATATTATGATCAACACGTGACAAACTATTACTGCAGACATTGTTATGAGGTCTATAAAGCTATTTTTTTTAACTGAGAACAAATGTGTGGTTTATTATTGTAACTTCAGGATATGCTGCAAATCAATATTAACCAAGTGAATTTTATAGCAAATCTGTTGATATATGATTTTCTCATGTGATAAAAAATAAAAAAATGTGGATAGTGTCCACATGTGGACACAGATGATGCCCCCGCTTGCATATAATATAGTTATAAAGGGACATAATTGAAGAACGGTAAAAGTGACACTACCCAAATTTGAACTTGATCTGCGTTTTGTGGTAATAAGCACTGTGTGTAAGTCTCATAACATTAGGTTGAGGCTAACTTAAGTAGAGAACAGAAACTAAAAATTCAGCAATTTTTCTATTTGTAAACACGCATAACTCTAGAACAGTTGTGTATAAGTTTTATAACATTTGGTTGAGACAAACTAAAGTTAGGAAACGGAAACGAAAAATTCAGCAATTTTTATGTTTATAAAGGGACATAACTAAAGAATGGTAAAAGTGTTACCACCAAATTTCATACTTAATCTGTATTATGTAGTAATAAGCATTGTGTATAAGTTTCATAACATTTGGTTGAGGCAAACTAAAGTTAGAAAACGGAAACAAAAAGTTTGTACTTGATCTTAGTTTTGTGGTAATGAATATTGTGTATAGGTTTCATAATGTTTGGTTGGGGCAAACTTAAGTTACAGAATGGAAACTAAAAATTTTGCAATCTTTCGATTTATAAAGGGGCATAACTCAATAATGGTTAAAGTGACACTACCCAAATTCAACTTGATCTGTGTCTTATCAGTGGAAGTCAAAATTAAACATTGCATTGTATAAAGCATTGATTGTAGTTGATTCAACTATAATCATGGAAAAAGAAAGATAACTCCAATTTTAAAAATAACTTGATATTTAGAAAAAAATAAAAATTTAGCAATTTTTCAATTTCTTAAGGGGCATAACTCTTGAACGGTTAAAGTGACGCCACCAAAATTCAAACTTGATCTGTGTTTTGTGGTAATAAGCATTGTGTATAAGTTTCATAACGTTTAGTTGAGGCAAACTAAAGTTAGAGAACGGAGACGATAAATTCAGCAATTTTCCATTTGTAAAGGGGCATAACTCTAGAACGGTAAAAGTGACGCCACCAAAATTCAAAATTAATCTGTGTTTTGTGGTAATAAGCATTGTGTATAAGTTTCATAACATTTGGTTGAGACAAACTAAAGTTAGAGAACGGAAACCAATTTTGGGACGTACGTTCGTACGTACGTACAGACGGACAAGGGTAAAACTTAATGCCCCCTCTGCTACGGCAGGGGCATAAAAATAGTGTACTAGCTAGTTATGTTTCAATTTCATACACTTGATTGTGTTGTGGACCTGTGAAATTCATTGAATTTTGGATAGCTGTCTTTGTAATTAAATTATAGTCTTGTTTTTTTTATATAGTCTTGTTCCAAATCGACTGGTTTGTAATGGAAAAGATGAATTATTAATGGTCTGTGGAGTTAAAGATTTACATGTAAATTTATCAAAGACATACCTCAAGTGTACTTTGAGGAATGGTCTGTAAGCTTATCTCTCCTTTGTGTATATTTAGCTTTAGGAAAGTTATTTCGACAGTTTTTCCAACTTCTATTGATGTTTCTGCAAGCTGTCTCCACATACTGACTTTAACTTCCCCAGTACTGTCCTGTATATATATCTGCTTAAGCTTGATTGTTTCCTGTGTTCTTTGGGTAACTCTTTCTAAGACAGCATCCACCTTAAAAAAATAATCATAGATTACATACTTTATCTGGACCTACAAAATCAGTATCCTATATTCAATAATAATGGTTAATGTATATGTCTTATTTTATTTATCTATTAGAATTGAGAGAACTTTAAGATCGAAACACCAATGTGTTCTTGCAATATCATTATCATTGAGGGTCTATACTTCTAAAACCACTTCTGCAGTGTGAAGTAATGAGATGAAACTGACAGTTTTCGTTTGGTAAGTGAATTGACAGGAAGTGTGTACTGCAAATAATGGTGTCATCGCATGCTTGTCTAAATTTATGTTACTTTATTAATGTTTTGTGTTAACTTCCTCTATGTGGATTTGAAATCATTCGGCATTTTATCTGTTTATCAAGTTCAATAGGATTCTAACTGGACAGTTTTGATATACAGGAATTTTATATGTTCTAATCTTGGGAACTATTAAATTACATGTCTCTCTAATCGTACTCACTCTGATGACTTTCCCTCTGACAGATACACTTGTATCTGCTGTTGTTTTCTTGGCTTTTTCAATTGAAACAACTGCTGGTGGAGGTGGTGGTCTGGAGAGCTCTGCTGCTTGGCTCCTGTGGATTGGGTCAATGTCTCCAACTCCACTAGTAACGTTAACCTTAGTGGCTGATGTTATGATGATTGTACTATCCCGGAAGATGTAGTTCCTTATCATTACAGAGCTGTTTTCTTTGATTGTAGTCAATTTGCTACTGTCGTAGCACTGCCCCTTTATTACACCAGTCTGGTCTGCAAAACCAATGGTTGTGGCAGACTTCTTCTGGCCATCTCTGATGTATGTGTTGGTTGTACCAACACTAACTGTTTGTACCTTAATTGGTACTCTGTAGGGGGTATTTGAAGACTGTTCCTTTAACTTTGCAATTGTGAACATCTTCTGAAAATGTAAAATTTTGTTTGTTAGGAATAACAATTGATAATACAGATACTTATTACCTAATAATAAGTACAATATAAACATATATAACAAGTTGAACAGACTTTTAAGAAATACTAGCCATTCACTAACACTAAAATTTAATAGCAGCCAAATTATATGAACAGGTAAACTGTGATAGATATTTGACATTCAGTAATCAGTAAATTTGATAAAGTATCTTTTTCAATTCTATAACCAATTTCTTTCATTGAGTATGTATAATTCTATATGGGAAGTAAGCTGATACTGGTTGATAGATATATTCAATCATAGACTCTACTTCAAGATTATTGAATTAGACGGTGAAGTTACTTTTCTATTTAGGCCAACAAAAAAAATATGTGTCTGTTTAAGGTTACATACTTTAAAAAAATAGGGTAGGTAGGTCGGTATTTTCATTTTATTTTTTGTGACATGATTTTGAGTCATGCTGTTTCAACTTGTAGTGGTCCGAGATGATCATGGGCTGAGTTTACCCGTATTTTTGATGATTGGATTATTTCCCTTGGAAAAAAATGGCGGCAAAGTGTTTTTTTCATCACACGAATTGCGAATTTCCTTAAAACAGCTGTCATATTCACGAATGGAACATTGGGATGTATCAGGCAATTTATTTATATCATTTGCAACACTAACTTCGCTTTTGACACGAGTTCAGTTTTTTTTTACTTTACGACGGAAATAAAATGACTTAGGGTCGGCGCTCAAAAGTAGGGTAGGTCGGGTAACCGTAAACAGACATATATTATTTTTGGCCTTATCTTCCATATATTTTTGATTGAAACTTGTACACATGATGTTATAATTATCATTCATCTTTGTTTTTCAAATTTGATAGTAATATGGAAACACAAAAGCCATGATAACTACACTTGAATGACTTGATTTACATTTCTACAATGGAAGACTAATATATATAGGTTTATGGTCTGAATAATAAGACTCTAAAACACTAGACATGATATCATCATTCATGAAATTTACAAAGACCAAGTCCAATGATGTATTGTAATCTGTTGTCTCTTCTTTGATGAGCTGATGAAATGTGTAGGTGTGCAATAAATCAATTAAGGAGCAGTTGTTTTGAATGTCAACATTGAAGTCTCCCATTAATATTGTTTTTTCTTCGATCAAGGGAGAGATGGTCTGCAGCATAATTCTGAAATTGTGCAGAGTTGATGCTTTGGGGGGACAGTACAAGAATATCACCCTCACCCTGGTATCATTTTTATTGATTATAGCAGAGGTGATCTCAATGCCTTCAGGTCTTCCTTCATATGTGCTTGTTATCTGTTGCTTTGAAAAGATGACACTGCCATGATATGGTCTCCCCAAAGAGTTGCTAACAGAATCATGACGGTATGATGTGTTGAACCCTGGTAAGGCAGCAAATGAATCACTATCTTGTGGCTTTAAACGGGATTCAGTGATACCGATCAAGTCTGCAAGAGTTATGTAGCAGTCTTTTTGAACATCTTCAATATGCAAGTGCAAAGAGCGTACATTATGACAAACTATATTTAACCTGCTGTTAGCATCAGGAAGTTCACTCACAGAACTTTTCACCTGTGATGTTGTACGCATTCTGTCCATTTCAACTGCCACATCAATGCTTACAGAAATCTTATCTTCTGCAAGATGCAGTATGTGCAATCCTTCAAGACTTCTAACTCTGCTGAGAGCTACATAGTGTATGTGATTATTTTTTCTCTTTCCTAAATGGACAACTAAATTGTTAACAGTTGATCCTTGTGACTTATGAATGGTTTTAGCTGCAGCCAAACGTATAGGAAACTGACGACGAACTATTTGATATGACTGATTGTTGTTTATTGCAAATTTCCTTGTTACTTCGAAAATTGGTGTCCATGTCTTATCAATCTGATTGTTTCTCAAGTGTTGAAACTGGCTTCTCTGATCTTTCCCAATGTTCATGTCTTCAAACAAGACCCATATGATACTACATCTACTTGAATTTGCAACCCTATAGTCCAATAACATGAATTTCCCTGCAGCTCCATTTGTTAGACCGTCTTCAATGTTGATATTTAAATTAATTTCAACCTGTAAGCCTTCAGCAATTTTCAAGTTTTTGTATAACCCCATTGTTTTACTTGGATCATCTGGTACTCTGTTCAGAGCGTCTCCATGTAATCTTTCTGATAAGTCACCTGTTACTGAATCTATACATTCAACCGTGTCACATTTAGAATTAGCTTGTGAGAACACATATTCATTGAATGAATTAACTTCAGCACATGTGGTATATAGATGTGGCAGAGAAGATAAACCTATATCTGTTTCAACTACCCTAGTTTTAAGGGTTTCTATATCTGAACAAGTATGATGACCTTCTCTTAACCTATTAAGAAGTGTAGCAAACTGGCTATCTTCTTTCTGACGCATAATTGTTTTTAATTCATACAAAGTGAAGTTATCTTGCCATAAATTGGCAGCCAAATACCCATATTCTGTTGCAGTGTTTTGAAATATCCAACTATCCATCACAGGTTTCAACTGATATAGATCACCAACAGCAATTATACTTATACCACCAAATTGCTGATTGTTCCCCATTATTTCCTGAAGTCTACAATTAACAAAATTGAACATCCTGCATCCCACCATAGATATTTCATCTATAATGACAACTTTGAGATATTTGTATTTCAATCTATAGGTATTTAGCTGTTCCATAGCTAAAGGTTTGTATGAAAACCCTCTGCTGACAGGTATACAAAAGGTTGAATGGAGAGTGTTCCCACCAATGTTATGAGCAGCTTTGCCAGTTGGGGCACATAGAAGAACTTTCAACTCATCTGGATTTGAACCTGGTGTCATATTCAAGATTCTTATTAGACTCTGATAAATTGCACTTATCAAAACTGATTTACCAACACCTGCACCTCCTGACAAGAAGTTGTACAAAGGATCATCCTTAATTTTAAACCAGTGCATAACATGATAGAAATACCTTTTTTGTTCAACGTTTAACTTCCTTACTAATTCCCTGTAATCGTTATCAGACATTTTAATTAAACAGTCATCATCCCCAATTTGTTTTCTAGTTAAACCTATATCTAAGCCAACATCATATTGTTCAGGTTTACCAGGATCAAAACAGCCATACTTTTCTGACAAAGTTAGACCTTCAGTTCTGTCATTGTTCTCTACATGCAAATTTTCAGGCATAAACTCAGTATCCATATTGTCATTAAAAGTATCCTGATTTCCATTATAACTTTCAACCTGCTCAATTAAGCCTCTTTTTCTCTCATACTCATCTTTCAGTTTTTCAATACTGACAGAATTCTGGGTATACATTTGCTTGAGTAAACTGTAAGAATCAGGGATGTCTCTATCTTCATTTACCCACGGATGGAATAACATTATCAATTCGCGGTAATATTTTTCAGTGTCATGATCTTTATTAAATCTAACATACTTAAGTATTTTTTGGGTTTTGCGTCTTTTCAGTATACCCCCATCTGACATACAAATTTCCTTAACATTACAATTAAGCATGTAATTAGAAGAGTCCTGTAGGATTGAAGACACATCCTCCTGTTGATCTTCATGTTCGACATCTTCAGATTGTGGGTCATCATCTAAACAGTCATTGTCATGTTCTTCTGGTAATTCTTTTATGGAATTAATTTTATCAGCAGAACAACTCTTTTTCTTTTTCGGATATGTTACATCATACCATGACGCATAATCTGCCAGACATAAGCATAGTAGTTCCTTTGGTCGTCTTTGGTATCGCTTTATAACGTTGTCTGCTTCAACATTAGTGGAGGTACTGGCCATTTCCTCAAGCTTGGTGACAGATTTCAATAATGTTATACGCTCGCTAGGAGGACCCGTGTTTAGAAACAGAAAACTGCGTGTTGATCTTCGCATGGGTAATTGTAAGACAAAGTATGCTGCTTCTTGGGCACTAACTTCAACATGTGTTAAAAACTTGTTTGATATATGACGCAATTGACGTGTCAGGTCCATATTATTTTCCTTAGCTTCTAGGGATGCCTAATACATTAAATTTGACATTCCCCTCTGACCTTTACTGATATAAGAAACTATGTATGAAGCACAAGAGTATGGATCAAGTACAAACTGAACATCTATATTAGCTTGCCAGCATTTCAACATAATTGAATTGTAGGAATTAATTCTTATTTCTGATAGGCGTCTTTTCAGGAATAATTTAGCCCTTTTCAACGAAGACCTTATTGCATTACAGTATTCAAGATCAGTTAAATTCAATTCTTTAAGAAACTCTTCAAATGATATTTCATTGCCATATTTCATCTCTTCAAGTGTATCAAATATCTTAACACAGTTTTTTTGGCATACAGATATGAATTCAAGGTCATGACCAGTTTCTGAATTTAAAGGTTGCAAAAGAGTTGTCTTCCTCATCGGAGGAATAGGAAAATTGAATCTACACACTGACTTCCCTTTCTTTCTACATGTACGTGCATGGCGATGGGTTTGGTAATTTATTAGATCTGGTATGGCTTCATCTTTTGCACAAGTAACATGCTTGTCTACAAAGGATGTTATTTCTTCAGGTGTTGCATTTCCTATATCAGGCCCATCAACAACCCATACAACCATATGAATATGAGGTGAACCCCTTTGCTGAAATTCAACCCTGTAAAAATAATCCTGAATTTTCCCGATTGGTTCTAATGGACTCTTTAATACAGTGTGCAGGAATTTTTGAACTCTGTAATCAAAATACCTAACACATGTTACAGGGTCTGAATTAATGAGATGACACTTTTCTTGCCAAGACAATTGATCAATATCAGTCGCTGAATATTCTTTTTTATTCACTAATTTTCCCAGGGTTATCAACAAATTCTTCCATTTGGTGTCTGCAGCAGATAGAGAAACAAAGAAATGTGGGATTCCCAATTGCCTTATCATACCAAACAAGTCTTTTTTTGCAACCTCCCAGTAAGCAGTTGAACCCCTTATTTGTCTGAGGACTTGGTAACCTTCATTGTGTTTAATCAAATTTTCAACAGCTCCAGGGGCTAAAACATCATGAACGGTTATTTTCTTCCCCAGCAACTTGCATTTTCTGATGGCTAATTGAATGCGATCTTGTATGTATTTAATTTGAAGCTTTTTCATTTTAAAGAAAATATTAGGGATAGACATGGCAACTCTCCTATCAAGATTACGCAACTCCCACTTACTTATTGTACTGTAATGTAAAGGCACAGCCCTCAAATTGTTTGACATACGAGTTTCACCACAATATATTGACGGGAAGGCCAAGAATTCACTGTTATAATCTTGGAATATGCCAAGGGGAGTATTACCTTCACCAGGTGCAATGCTCACAACCTGTTTATACTCTCTAAATCCTACTGGATTCAACATAGTATCCAAATTTCCACTTGGTTGATTTTCATGATTTTGTTCTTCATTCCAACTATCAGAGTCTAAATTTGATAAATCATTGACCCCACTCTCAGAAGTAGACGTTTCATTTAAACAACCTTCTGATTGATTAGGTAAAGACCAATTTGTATCAATATTAATACCTTCAGATTTAAACAAAGTCTTACTGGTGAGTAACTTCACTGCATCTATCACCCGATTAGGTCTTATCATTTCCTGTGCAATACTATGTTTAAATGATATCTTGCGTTTTAGTTTTACATATATAGTTTCAGCATTATCTAATGTGCGTGGCAAAATTCTGATAGTCTTGTTAACATCTGCAGGAACATTAACAATGTTGCCTTTCATGCAGAGCTGACCTCCTCTAGGCTGTTGTCTAATTGTCATGAATGTTAATCTTGGAGATATAAGTCTTTGCTCTATGTTGGTTAAACCTAGAAGTTCAGCTGGTATAGGTGGAAATTTCATGTTGTTACCAATAGAACATTCTGGAATTTTTTGTGATTCTAAATATCGTTTACATGTTAAACACACCCATTCAATATTGTTAACTGATTTTATACCAGATGTACACTTTTCAAGCAATTCAAACCTACTTTTGACAGTACTCATACGCACAACACCTTCTTTAAACCATGTCTGACTACAAGAGCTACAAACATATAGAGGACCCTCTAGAACTGACAGGCTGAATTTTTTTACAAGATTATTTGTTAAAGCTACATCATCAAGTTTTCTACACTTTGAGGCCACTGTATGACAACTCAATGTTTGTTTTCTTTTCTTGTTAAGCCTATCTTTTTTGGTTGTCACTTGATCTTTATGCTTAGTAATGCAAGAACTCGGAACATGTTTTCTTTGATTAAGTACTTCTGAATTAGAGGTAACTTGAAGTGTTGATAGTTCTTTTGAAGATTTATTCTCAGAAGATCTCCCACTGTCTTGATTACCTACATTAATGTTGAAAACGATGAAGTTTTCATTTCGTGCATTAACTGAAGTCTTAACCTCCACTCTTATCATTTCATATTCAATCTGTTCTAGACTTGAGCTGCTCAAAGAACAGGCAAGATCACGCAAGAAACTGCACAATACCGACAGATTTTCGTATTTTGAAATATGACAAGCTCCGTCTGGATCAAGAAGACCATTTTTGCAACGACTATGGGAGTCAAATAAGTAATATTCATTGTTTGTCTTTCTTACTGATATTGCAGAAGCACAGAAAATAAGAATTGCACTGAATTTGGAATTACTAGAACTTAGGATAAGATTGAAAGCAAATTCAAGGGCCATAGAAAAGTCATTTTGATAATAAATCTTTCGTGTTAATGTACCCCCATATGAAACTTCTCTTCCCAACACATATTTCTGTCTCTGGAAACTAAAATTCCTAGGAATATCATTATACAACAAAAAACTATGTGGGACACCACAAACTTGGCGAATGTATTTGTACATTTCATCACCTATATGCAGAATTAATTTCAGGTGTTCTGATGTCCACAGGTGTAGAGGTTTTGTTTGAGAAAGTGCAGAAAACACGACACAATTAGTCATACACTGTCGTCCCCTTGATTCATCTCCGAAAACCTGATCACCTTGGTGGTATTCACCGTATATAAACAACATTTTCAATTAGATAAGACTTATCCTAACAGTTGAGACAACACTGTTTCATCAAAAAATATCCCTCTCAGATAAAATGAGTACTCTTAGCTCAACACAGAAATATTATTTCTTTTTCTTAAAACAAATTAAGTAATCTTTGTACAACAAAGTAATAATAAAATTACAGAATGCACATGCTATGTTGGGAAAAATTTACAGCCTTGTCTAAAATTTATTATACATATACATGTACTTGTACATTGTACACTATGTAGAACTAGAAGTGCATTTGCAAAATATTGATGCAGAGAGACCCAAATGGCTTAGAAAATCTTGAAAGAGCAGTACATTTAATTATTTACAAAATAGTTTGTTTAAAGTTTTCATGTACTTATGTCTAGATAGATTTTTCTTGAAGTTTGCCGTGGCTTTGTAGTTTCAATGATATTCATTCAGAGGTAAAGTATGTATATTATAAGTATTAATCTTGAATATAATTAAATTATTCTAGACCTGATAAAATGAATCGTGAATCTGTTAATGATATCTAGTCCAAGATTTATTTCTAGAAGTTGAGTGCTTGTTGTATCAATAATATTCAATCCAAGCTAATTTCTTAGTATTCATTTTGATTATAAATTATTCTAGACATGAACATAATATTCAATCCAAGCTAATTTCTAAGTATTCATCTTGATTATAAATTATTCTAGAAATGATCATTGAATTTCAATTCAATTTATCTTAAGATCAATGCAATAAATCATGTCTCAGTAACTGATTTCTGGTCAAAGTTATATTTTGAGCCCTTGTTTTATCAATAGTATTTAACCAAGTTTCTTCTATGTATTCATATATATACAAATACAAAGTCTTTTGTTGTCAAATATGACACTTAATAATTTGAGCAGTATAATTAGTTTAATTTCATGCGTGGGCTATGTATAATCAAAGCATCATCTGAAAGATAACATACTGTAAAGCTAAACTAAAGAAATAAATCACTTAACTGACTCAATTCAATCCTTTCATAAAGTAATAGTATTTTTTTTATGTAAAATAGCCTTTAAAGAATACAGAATATATTCAGATTTATAAGTGACAACCCAAAATTTGTGAATATGTAGAAATTTACGTTTTGTCAATACAAAAAATAGCTGAATATGCGCATAATTAGCTAAATATCTAATGCGCATGCGCAACACCTTTATTTACTAAAGTCAAAACCGTAACATTTACACATGTCAAAACTTCCAGGTCACGAAATGTCACCAAAACATTATCTAAACAGAAAAGCACTAGATTGCATTAACGCTGCTGTTTGCTACATCTTAATATTTTAATTAGAAAAGTTTCAAGTATTATTGAGATGCAGAGCAGGTTAATTCTAATAATGGCGGATCGGGTAAAAATAATAGAAATCAATCACAAAACACCATAATTCATTATATTCTTACTAATCAAGTATCTTAAATAAAGCAATACAACTAAAATTAATCATGCGGAGGACATATAATCAATTAAAGATAAACTTACGATGTTATTTCTAATTATCTTCCTTGTCAATACTGTCACGCTCTTCTCTGCTGCTGTAACTTTGTAAACAAAGATTCATACGTACCGCGTGGGTATAACCGTATTACTAATTTCTAATTCTTAAAAACTTCTTAAATCTTGATAAAGACCATTTTCTATCCAATAGATGTAAAGATGATTCCGATTATTACTTTTTAAATGATTGCAAAGTTCAAATGACAAGAAGGTTGACATTATTTAGGAGAACTATGTTGTCTAGCGATGGCTGATCGTTGGAGTGTGAAAAGTCCAAAACCGCACCGCGTGGGTATAACCGTATTACTAATTTCCGATTCTTAAAGATTTCATAAATCTTAATAAAGACCATTAAATATCCAAAAAATGTAAAGATGATTCCGATTATTAATTTTTTAATGATTTTAAAGTTCATATGGCATGAAAGTTTGACATTATTTAGAACTATTTTGTCTAGCGATTGCTGATCATTGGTGTGTGAAAAGTCCAGAAACATGTCAAAACGGATCTATTTGTTTATTACATCGATAAAAGCGAAAGCTTGAATAAATATGAAAAGTATAACAAAGGGAAAGCTCAAGATACCATTTAATAACAATAAACATATGAACAGGTCAAAATTTTTTATTCTGTAAATAAAGTATGTAAACTTGTTCCCAGCTGATTACTACACAATAATACAAGCAGATACCAGTTTGTATGTAGTAAATACGAAACCAAGCGCGGTAGGCGGAGAAATGTAATGGACTTTTGTAAGTTCAGGTCAATAGTATAGGAAACATGCCGCTGAAAGCGTCATTTTCCAAAAACACAAAAAGTCCAGCACAGATTTGGTGATCAGTTGGTGAAGTGATAATCAAATGACAGGAGTACGAGATTGTAACTACGAAAAGTGGCTTATATGCGTGGTAATCTGTGACACAAAGGGAAAGAATTATTTCACCTTGACCATTTTAAACCTTTGTTTTAGAAAGCTTTCTAGAGTTTTGAAGGCTCTGTTTTGAAAAAAAAATGAATGGAGATGATTACACAGCACATATACCCTTCACCTGAATCCCTTTCCATCCGATATTAAAAATTTTACCGATTGACACTCAACCAGATATGAAAAGATAAGAAGTTAAATAACATTATTTAAACATATGTGAATTTCATTCAATTTTCGAAAAAAAGGAATTTGAATTGTGTTAAAGTTATATTTAGATAGAAGTGCAAAAGACGATAATGTACCTGATATATCATTTTCATTGTTTTGATAACATTAACGGTACCAATTTTGCTTCATCAGATCCGCATGTCGACAATCTATGTCTCTTAAGTGATGCTCGATGCCAGAATATTTGAAAGTCGAAATTTCTTTTCAAAACAATGGGAATAGCTGATAAACCAAAAAGGACAAACAGTATAACCAAAGCTGGGCAAGGAATCAATGGTTTGCATGGGGAATATGTATTCGTTAGTTTAAAATGATTTCCCAAATTTGGTAATTTTAATCGGCTGCAAAACTTTAAAAGATCTTTCTTACTTATAGGAGGAAATCGAAAAAGCAAAAGCAAGTGGTAATGTCCTGACTATGAAAAGAATTTACCAAAAGCTAACGGGTGAGGACAGTTCTAAAGATAACAGAAAGAAGAAGGTAACCAGGTAACCGCCATTTTGTATTCGCACAAAGATCTATTTAAAGTGCTCTTACTTTTAACCTTAATATAATTGTACGGTGACAAAAAGCGTAAATTAAAACATTTAATGGACCGACATGTCTCACGGCTGATTTTGATCTTATTTTGAAATTAAATATAATTGCCTTTGATTAAAATACTTAAAATAGTGATAAAACTTCAGAAAGGAGTCTTTCAAAAATCCTAATTTTATTACATTTTGGAAAATTGTTTGGAAATTACTCATGATATATACGGTGGATCTGGTTGGTGTTAGTAACAGAATAGAAAATAATGGGGTGCTAAAATGTAAAGAATAATAAATTATGGGCAAATAATATAAAGAATAGAGAAAAAATATATAAATAGATAAAGATTAGAGAAATAAAGGAACATTGTTTTATTTGGTAGCAGTTATTGGCTTTTAACTAGCATCAACTATATTTTCGAGGGTTCAGTGCTTACAGACATGTTAAACTTCGCCACATTCTTTATGTGCCTGTTCCAAGTAGGAAGTCTGTAACGCAGTGGTTGTTGTAAGTAGCTGTCTGTTTTATTCCATGGTAATATAGTGATGTTTTAAACTTTATCGTCTTTTCCTTCGACTCCACCCTGCCTAGTTGCTCCGTAATGTTATAGTATCATGGCTCAAGGAGGTGGAGATGAACAGGTATAGGACGATAAACAGATTATCGTGTTTTCTACCAATAGATATTGTAAAATATTAGCTGCTCGACACAATGTGAAGCTTCAAGAAAAGGTTCACATTGTGGCTCGCGGTTGATATGTACCGATTATCATGTTGTCTGCATATTGATATTGTAAAATGTAAAATCACCGATATTCATATACAATAGACAACATATGTAGTTTAATATCATTTAAATAATATGGCTGACCTATTTTAAGTATCAAATATTGAAAATATGGTGCTGGAAGAGAACCTTATGCTATTTTTATAAATGAATTTTAAGTGTTATTCCTATAAAAATAGGAAGATGTAGTATAATTTTCGATGAGACAACTTACTACCAGAGTTCAAATGATGTGAATGTAAGCAATTTAAGCCACCATGCGGAACATCAAAAATGAGAAAAACCCATACCGTTTAGTAAGCTATAAAAGCCTCTCGAAATGAAATATATAAAACATTTCAAACGAGAACACGTACGGTATAGTGTCTAACAATACAATATACAAAAAACAAATACGACATAAATGAACCAAGGACAAACAATGAATAACCTCGCCTCAATCTTTATGTCCCTGCTATTCAGTGGTTGTCGGTGGTTCATCTATGTCATATTCCCTGTTTGAAACAAAACCCCAAAACTTATAGAATATAGAAACCCTGCTTTGCTGTGACGTTAATGAGAAAATTAGATATACAAGTAGTTCGTGTAAGTTCGGGGTATTGAATGATTTCTACCTAGAAAAAAAAACAATTAAAATGTGTGCTACATCCGACTTATCTCTTTTTTTTAAATTAGATTAGGTTTGGAAGCGAAAAAAGAAGACAATTTATCTGAATGGTATTCACAGGTAAGTAAAAAAGTTTTGAATTAAATTGATTCAGTATTGACTATGAATTTCGTTTGACAGCTCATTTAATGACATTTTCTCCTATTGGTTGCTCATACTGTATATTTGTTTTCCCCAAAAACCAAAAGATAACGATACCCAACCGTCGACAATGCATGTTTCATACGTAATGTTGTGATAGCTTATCCTCCTTAACAACCAACCTTTAATGATAAATATATTCTTGATATATTTTGAAGTATCTATAGACCAATAGAGAGATGCATATTTGACAATAGCTATTGAATCTCTGTACAAACTGCGGATATCACAATCAAAGTACCTCTCAGAACAATTGGAGAATACTACAGAATGAGCAATAGTCATCACACTAAAAACTAGTAGAATTTAAACCTGAATTGCGCATGCAAAAGAATAAAAAAATCTGCACATACGGTCTACACCCGGTAAAATCTCTATAGTGATAAAAAAAAATACAACCCCACTTTGGCTAAATTTCTGCACCAAATGCACATGCATACATTTTGTTCTCATCGGTGGTGTTCGAACCTGAATATTGCAAAAGAGAAAGTATTAGATGTGGAAGAGAAAAAATCTCAGGTTGATAAAAAATGAAATTATTCAGTCACAGAGATACAAATGTGTGTCAACAAAGTTAACGACCATTACTATGCATTAATCACTCGTCATGATAATGAAAGAAGAAAAGCTATTTAACCTGAAAAAGTTTAAGCCTCACTTCTTCTGAATTATTTTTATTCTATTCATTGATACTAAATCACTAAACATAGCCACATTAATTCGTGCACTCTATTTCTCCAATATGCTCTAGTGAAGATGGTCAGTTTGTCAATTGCTCTTCAACGTCTCAATATTTTAGTCGATTGACGTTATGAAGAGTGTGCAAACGTTATTGCACAAACTGAAGCTAACTAATTGGTGTTTTTACATTATTAATATGCCTATACATAAATCTCTATCTTTCATTTCAATTCATCATTTACATTTTGACCATTAAAGATTACAGAAAACTACTGCATAAAACAAATGAGAAGATAACCAAGAGAATACGATGTCAGGAATCTTTATTATTTTATATCTTTTTAAACATTATATATTTTCACTATTAAGTACCTTGTAATTGAAGTTGTTTTGTAAATTAAAATCATAATATTTGTTGTTAAAAGAAAAAAAATCAAGAAATCGAAATATATTGTAAGATGTTATTAGAAGTACAAAATATTCAAGTGACATCATATATTGGAAAAGGTCATCCAGAAATCTGAGATGATAGAGTATTATGATGTGAGTGGGTGTTATATATTACGTCCGTGGTCGTATTCCATCTGGGAAGCTATCAAATCTTTCTTTAATGGTGAAATAAAGAAGCTGGGCGTAGAAAATACGTATTTTCCCATGTTTGTTTCCCGTGCTGCCTTGGAAAAAGAGAAGACGCATATTGCAGATTTTGCGCCGGAGGTAAAAGTTGATTGTTGTAGTTTTTCTCAGATGTAATACATTTTTATTTTATCATGAAATGAATTTTAACTTCATCGTTCAAAGTTTTTCATTTTATTCATACTGCTTTCCACGTATTTTTCTTTGCCTTTTAACATATTTGCAACAAATTGATCCTGTCAGAAGTAAATCCAGGAGAGAGCTTTGAATATCTGTTATGTTTAACCTTTCTTATGTAAATATATACTTTAAATTTCAATAGAAACATATCATTTTCTAAACAAAATGGATACTCAAGAGCCAATCGTAAACAAAATAGCAGAGGCGAATTTCAACTTAAAGGGTGTAGCTGAAGACCCTTTGTTTATAGTACCTCAAATTAATTGAATTAAACATGCTGCAATTTCATTGACTTTGTGTGTTCGCTTCGACATCATACGGACTATTTTTCTTACCAATAGGTTGCATGGGTAACAAAATGCGGAAAAACGGACATAGCAGAACCTATAGCAATTCGACCAACAAGTGAAACCGTCATATACCCAGCTTATTCTAGATGGATAAAATCCCATAGAGATCTTCCATTAAAGCTAAACCAATGGTGTAACGTCGTTGTGAGTACAAACTATATTGCATACTAGTATTTATAATACCACAAATGAGTCATCAAAGCGAGATTTAAGCTTGAGAAATGTAAGCGTTGTAGTGAACATGGTATAAACGTAGAAAAAATATCAGATTTGAAACTCTTCTTGATTAGACTTTACGTGATATGGTGAAAGGGATAGTACGGAATTTAAGAATAAACATGATTGTTTCATATTGGCTCTTTTATGTTCAGGTCACTGAATAATAACAAAATTATGTTGATTTTAAAGCTGAATACACAATTGCGTGAATACCTTTACAAGTCAATGGAATTTTTCCGTTTGAAATTCATTTAAGGCACACTAAACAATTTTAGAAATATAAAATTATTATTCAAGAATAAGACTATGTTTCTGTCAGATCTCTTGGTTTATTCTTAAAGATACTATAATGGTTGAGTATGATTGTAAAATTTTAGTCAATAGTCTTTTTCGTAGAATATTTTTGCTAAAATAAAATTACAATTTTGTAGAGATGGGAATTCAAACACCCCCAGCCATTTCTTCGTACGAGAGAATTTTTGTGGCAAGAAGGACATACTGCCTGGGCAAATAAAAAGGATGCTGAAGAAGAAGTAATGTTTAATATGATTTGACATCTATTATAGCTAACAGACATTAATGCTTTTTTAACTTTAAAGAAGACTTATTTTAACTTACATAATCTTAATTGGTATTTTGTTTTGAAGCTGTTCAACCGTATGTAGTTCCCTTTTGTAAGTGTTTAGTTTTTATAATCCCTTCAGTTTCAACTTCCTATTTTTTTTGGCTATATTGTTTAATTTATCATAAGCTGTACTCTTCTTTGTCTTACTATAAGTTACTTGTGCAATTTACAAATATTTTAATTTTATGAAATTATTAATATCATGATCTTTTTAAGGTATATACCATCTTGGAGCTATATGCCAGAGTATATGAGGATCTTTTAGCAATACCAGTTGTTCGTGGTAGAAAAACTGCTAAAGAAACATTTGCCGGAGCAGACTTCACTACAACGGTCGAGTCGTATATTTCAGCTAGTGGAAGAGGAATCCAGGTTTTCCTATTATTTTTTCATTTCTTTCTTTCTTTTTTTTCATCGTCTTTTGACGAAATACTTAACCACTGTCATTTATTTGTTTATTGTTATTATCATATGCAAATCTTTTAATTTTATTTGCATTAGAAAATGGAAATAAGTAAAAATTATAAATGCACGCATTAACAAATGTTCTTCATTATTGTTATGAAAAAAACTAAACATACATCTTAATGTGTTTTTGTAATATTATATATCTGCCTGCAGGGTGCAACCTCACATCACCTTGGTCAGAACTTTTCAAAAATGTTTGAGATTGTATATGAAAACCCTGATACTCAGGAAAAAGAATTCGTCTATCAGAACTCTTGGGGTTTAACTACTCGTACCATTGGCGTTATGTGTATGGTTCATGGCGACAATAAAGGATTAGTACTACCACCTAATGTTGCTAGTGTTCAGGTATGTTAATTAAATTCACAATATCTTTTTGAATTGTTTTTTTTTTTTTTTTTGTGAGGGAAAATACCTTACCTTGCAATGTGTAAATTTGTTAGGTGTAGACTAAAGTTATGAAAAAACCGGGCGAACGCGGCTTGAAGACTACTTGAAATGTTTATGGTGATACACTGACAGCTTGGGTTGGTGTTTCTCGAACTGTTTTTATGCTATGATGCATTATGTTTTTATAAGTTTGTCAGTTCTTCTTCCATAGGAGTTTGAATGTCCAATAAGTAGCTTCTGTCTAGGTGTTACACAGGTGCTCCTAAAACGGAGGAAATAACTCAGAGAAGAAGCAGACAACCTAGAACACTGATGATTAAAACATTTCTCAGTGGTGCTAGTTTGTAGTATATTTTTTTTCGAAAGGTGCGATTCAAGTTCTGTCTCTGTGTGATACGTGTGCTCCAAGAACGGAGGAAATAACTCCGAGAAGAAGAAGACAATCTAAAACTCTCTGATGATTTAAAACATTTCTTCAGTGGTGCGAGTTTGAAGTATTTTTTTTCGAGTGGTGCGAGACAAAGAAAAATTTAGGGAGTACAAAACACTACATTTATACGTCATATCACAAATATTTCCGATTTTGTATGGTTTCAGAGGAGTTGCGGCTGAATGAAATCGGTCTCTTCCTTTAATAGTATAGATAGATTTTTTATTTTAAATGTCGACAATTTTAGCACCATCCACTTTAAAAGATCTCCGTTTCACACTTATAAAATTAATGCTAATTTTCTCGATCTCGAACCATCATGCGTTTTATTGGATTTTTTCTCATTTGAAAAAAAAGTCTTATTATGGCAAAAGCAGACATATGAACGAATTTATTAAGAGTAATAACCATTTGAAAAAGTATCGATTTTTAAGACATAGTGACTAATATTCTCTGCACATTCTCGTTCTTTCCTACTACCGGTATTTTAAACACGACTGCTGGTAAGACCAATTGGTAGCCTTGGGCTGTTTTCTGCTCTTTGTTCGGGCTGTGAAGATGTCTCTTTGACACATTCACAGTTTCCATTCTCAATTTTAATTCAATAAAGTTCAAACATAACGAATGTTAAAATTAATAGTTTTGTAGTAAATGAAAGAAAAGAACGAAGTTGCCAAAATAATAGTAACTGTTAAGGCTTCATTGATCGGATTTGTTTAAAGCCATATAAAAGTTACAGAGCACCTAAGTTATCCCCTTTAGGACTGGTGTTCGTTTTGCTGAATCTTTTGTTTTCTGTGTTGTTTCTTGAAGTACCCTATTCCTCCCTGGTGTTTTTAAATTCTTACAAATATAATATTCTAAGTTCTGATTATATCATACTATTTTTAGGTTATAATAATACCCTGTGGAATAACAGCTAACTTAACAAAGGGAGATAATGACGAATTGATCAGCAAATGTGAAATGTTAAAGTCGCAACTTAATGACATTGGAATTAAAACTAAAGCCGACTTGAGAGACAACTATTCCCCAGGATGGAAGTTTAACCATTGGGAACTGAAGGTAAATAAAGTGTTCTGCTTTATATATACCAAACAGTTTGCTCGATAGGAGGCTTAGAATATTAAAGTACAGTAGTTTTATAATTGTCTTTTTTTCAATGAGCAATTAACGCTCTTCTGATTCTTCTGTTATAATATCTTTAATGGACACATTTATAATTATGTTAAGCATCAGGATTTTTTCGTAATGTCATCTTTTTGGTAATTCTTTATTATTTACAAATAGGGAGTTCCAATTCGTATTGAACTTGGACCACGTGATGTGAAGAATGACCAAGTTGTAGCAGTTAGACGAGATACCGGTGATAAAATCACCATTCCAAAAGATCAAGTATCTTCGAAAACAGGGGATTTATTAAAGCAGATACAAAACCACCTATTCCAGAGGTAATTTCCATAAAAAAGTAGAAAAAAGAGCGTGTCTTCGAATGCACATCCTTCATAAAGAGTTACTATTTATTTAAAGTTCTTTTTAATTTGCTTTATTAGAAAATGAAAACTTGAAATATTGAAAAGAGGAACTATTAAATTTTGAGTGAGGTAGTGATAAATGATGGTCCTATCTACCAAACGTTTAAAAGCTACGTTAATCTTATAGCAGTTTATATCTAAACACTTGATTATGATTTGCAGGGCCAAATCTGAAATGGACAATCACACGGTAGTGTCACACGATTGGGGAGACTTTTGCAGTCAGTTAGACCAGCGAAAAATAATACATGCTCCATTCTGTGGACGCGTTGAGTGTGAAGAAAGTATTAAGAAAGATAGTGCAAGGTAAATTAAGTCATTTTTTTTAAATAGCTTGAGTTTATTCTCCCTATTAAGAAAATAGTATCTGTTTTTGTTTTTTAATTTATCCAACTGTTTTCATTAAAACAACAATTTCTTCATTTATATAAATTATCAAACATACTTGTTGACAGATATATGAAAATAAGGAGATTTGGTATGATTGCCAATGAGACAACTATCCACCCCAAGGTCAAATGCAGTGGATGTAGGCAATTATAGGCAATCGTACGGCCTTCAACAATGAGAAAATCCAATACTGTATGGTCGGCTATAAATATTTCCCGACATAAAAAATATAAAACAATTCAATTGAGAAAAAATAACAGCCTGATTTATAACAAAACAGTTTACGAAAAACAAATATGACTGACATGAACCAACGACAACCACTGTTCTACAGTCTCCTGACTTGGGACAGGAACATAAAGAATGTAGCGGGGTTAAACATGTTTGTGAGCGTTCAACCCTCCCCTAACCTGGAACAGTGGTGTAACAGTACAGCATAAGAACAAACTATAAAAATCAGTCGAAAAAGGCTTAACTCATCAGATAGATACAATTAGAAATACATCTAATAAAGACACAGAGTGGACGTTGACGTGTACTTATACATCCCAAAACAAACAAAAAAAACATTAATTAGTACAGATCCGAGAGTACTCGCAGTTACTGACAGCTATTTCAAAGTCAATCACAACTAAAAAAAACTAAACTAAAAAAATCATGTATCTAAGACTAAAATATCAATCAGTACACATCCAACATCCAATGGATTTAGTGTAAAGACATATCATTAACAGTCAGAGAAAACCATGACCTTTGTGCAATGTTAAACTATAAGTATCGACAGATTGTAGTAGCGTGAAAGTACATATGTGTAATATTTAGTATGGTTTCAATTAACTGATAACAAATTCAATATTTATACCAGTAAAAATAATATTCAAAGATTTAATTACAGTGTTGAATGGGTACCTACATTCGATGTAAGGCAACCAGATATTTATATTCTTCCAATAACTTCCTTTTTTATTTGAGATGCAAATAAAAGATGCTCATTTCATCAAAATATTCAAACAAAGGTCATGTCAACAAAAAAGAACTATCGTTAGACAAAAAAGTTGTAGTTCGTGAATTGTACATTGGAATTTCCCAAGCAATCTTAAGTTAATTTTTTACAGAGACAATGTTGCAGAAGAAGGTCAACCAGCTATGGGCGCCAAAGGATTGTGTATCCCCTTTAAACAACCACAACAACTTGAGCCAGATGCAAAGTGTATTCATCCGAATTGTTCAGAAATCGGAAAACATTATACACTTTTTGGGAGAAGCTACTAATGAACAGTTTAACTGACTTCGTTTCAGATTTTCCTTCTTTAGATTGGTTAACAGATATAGTAACATTATCAAGTTTCATGAAAATATCAAGTGTTCATAAATAAAGATAAAAAGTACTTGTATGTCCTCTAAGGTAGTATAATTGAGTATTAACTATCTTGTATCACAAATGATCAATTGAGATTATTTCACTCAAATAAGTTTTTGACAGAAATTAAATTTATGGCACATTTGTATTATGATTTTTCTGATGGTAATATTGTTTCAGAAAATATTTTCATCTGTTAAATCAGTTATAGAATTTGGGTTGTGAACATGGTGAAGGGATATGACTAATATAATTCAATTTTACAAGAAAGAAAACGAGTCTCTATTTTTTCTTTATATTTCTATATTTATTTCATATATAAGAACTAGCTTCTCGTAATTCAAAAAAAATTAAGGTGATCATTTGGAATCATTTGTTGTCATTTGCTCTAATTGTGTGCTGTATCCTTGTTTAATTCTAATAAAATATGATGAATGCAAAAAAGCTTTTTGACTTACTCCTGTATTTGCTCTAATTGTGTGCTGTATCCTTGTTTAATTCTAATAAAATATGATGAATGCAAAAAAGCTTTTTGACTTACTCCTGTATTTAGGGAAATATCGCAATGTTTCGCATAGTCTGAAACAAATCTGTTATTTTGGTGTATACTCCCATATTACCTAAGAATGCAGTTAACTTCCTTTTTCAACTCAATATAGTTATGAACATGAAGTAACACAACTCAAAGTATTAGTAACTTCTTCGTTTATTTGAACACATGTTGATGTCGTGACGCCATGGAAAGAGAAATAAAAGCAATAGGAGCAGGACATAACAGTAATGTTACAAGACTTTTGAGGAAATCATATGAAGAACAGGATTTAGAGAAAAAATCGACGAGTTATTAGAAACACTTACGTTATATCGTCATGTCGTTATGGCATAACAAAAAAACGGAATACGACCAAAAGACAAACAACAGTCCATAAAACACAACATATCAAATTAAAGACTTAGTAACATGAACCAAACCAAAAACCAGGCGTGACCTCATGTGCTCCGTGAGCATGTGCATATCCTGCTTCAAATGCTTTTAAATAGATAAAGATAAAAAAATTCAAATGTGCATTATAAAGTTTTCACAATTTTTAGCTGCCAAGTGAGTTATCCTCGCCAGTCGTCGTCCATTATCTTTTACAAAAATCTTCTACTCTGAAAAAACAGGGCCAAATTTAAACAAACTTGGACAGAAGCATCATTGTTCTTTTAAAAATCTGTCCGACGACCCCATATAACACAAAACAATATTCAAAATTTTGAGATCTAACTATTGACATCTAACTATTGACATTCAAATCAAAACTGTCAGACGACTTTTTAGAGGAGTAGGTGTCCTTCACTGTCGAATTTTACCCATTCTTTCAGTTTTGTTTGTTATCTTGAAAACTATTAAGATCAAGAGAAACTTAAAATTGCAAAAATAATCGGCAAGACAAGATCTACAAATAAGTAAACATAGCCAATATCGTCAGTTGACTCCTTATTAGAGAACTTGATTTCTAGTGAAAACATTTTTCTTTTCTTTTTGTTTGCTTATTATCTTGAAAACTATTGAAGATAGGTAGACACTTTAAAAGAAAATATTGTCAACCTGACAAGATCTACTAATTAGTAATTTTTTTTGGAATCGTTTGTGAACTCTTTATAGGAGTGATTGCCCTTAGACGACGCTTTTGTTTCACCTTGGGGGGGGGGGGGGGGGGGGGGGGACTAAAGAAGACAGTAAGACAGTGTAAAATAAAAGACAAGATCAACAAAAACGAAGATTTTTTTGCCATGAATTATTTTCTAGTCCATAATGTTGGAGAGTGTCTATTGTGGAAGATAGCCATAGATTACATGTAGGTGAACGATACAGGCTCTTTAGAGACTAGTTTTTGTCTCGCCTTGACGGAGTCAAAAAGCGAGACATAGGTATGCTGTTTCCGGCGTCGGCGGCGGCGGCGGCGGCGTCAACAATGTATTAGTTTGTGATTAGGTCTAGTTCATGGTGAACCACTAGTGGTAGGTCAATGATATTTGGTATGCAGTTGCATTAGCATTGGCACATCTCATTACCATAGAGATTATTTGGCCCCGCCCCCTCAGTCAAGGTCTATTGACTTTGAAACTTTTCATAGGTTACATGTATTAGTTTGTGATTAGGTCAATTTATGGGGAACACCTAGTGGTAGGTCAATGATATTTGGTATGCAGTTGTATAAGCATTGGCATATCTTATTACCATGGAGATTATTTGGCCCCGCCCCCTCAGTCAAGGTCTATTGACTTTGAAACTTTTCATAGTTTACATGTATTAGTTTGTGATTAGGTCAATTTATGGGGAACCATTAGTGGTAGGTCAATGTTAATTGGTGTTCAGTTGTATAAGCATTGGCATATCTCATTACCATGGAGATTAATTGGCCACCCCTGATCATGGTTCATTGACTTTGAAACTTTTACATGGTTTACAAGTTAATGTTTGTGTTTAGGTTTGTTTAAAGGGAAAGACTTATAATAAGTCAATGGTATTTGGTATGCAGTTGTATTAGCATTGGCACATCTCATTCCATGGAGATTGTTTAGCCATGTACCTTCAGTCATGGTTCATCGACTTTGAATATTTACATAACTTACATGTTAAAGTGTTGCTATTTTATAATTTCAACATTTACATTATCAAAATTACAAAAAGGCGAGACATATCTCTGTGATAACAGTTTATTATGTGTTATAAAACAACTTTTTAATTTATCAAAGATAGTTCAGATCTATAAAATGATTTGTTTTCTTTCTTCAAGTTCTATAAGTTTGGACAGATTCGTGGTATTTTTTGAAAATCTAATAGAGATACATCTTTTACCATGACCAAAAATTTTATTTGAAATAGAGCTTTATATTGACTTTAGAAAACGAACTGATGGTAAGAGATGTCGTTCGAATCAAAATTTTAAAGAAACATGAAAAGTTTGCAATAATTCGACAGCAATGAAATGATTATTCTTTTAAACTAAACTAATATATTGTAAAATTAATGATAATTTGAGTGAGAATATCATAATGACTTTAATTATAATTTAGTTTGTTAGGTAATGTCAAGTCGTTTTCATCAATTTATACAAATGAAGCTTTATTTCTATCAATTAGCCTTCTTTCGTAAAATAAATTTTTTTCCAAAGTTTATTTGTCCCGAAGTGTAGGTCGGTTAAAAACAAAATTGTGCGACAAAAGAGATGATTTTTGCTTTTCATTTCTATGTAGCACCATTCCAGCACCTCCTGCATATGGAGTATATGTCTTCCAGTTAACACGATGTTCCAGAGCTTGCACTTCCTATCATGATTTTCTTGATAGAGGGTTGCTGATTACAACGAAGCTATTCAATCAAAAGTTCCAAGTGGTGAAGTTGGAATCATTCCTTCGAAAAAAATTACGGACACCATCACGAGTTGGTTGACCGTTATAAAATAACTATTTCACAGATGACGACCAATAATGTTGCATTTGTCATAACCACAAACTCGTCCTCTTCTCCATGAATGTGGCTTATATAATTAGATTAATCACAGGGTTTGTACTTACATGAGCAACACGAAGGGTGCCACATGTAGAGCAGCATTTGCTTACTCTTCCGTAGCATCTGAGATCAACCCTGGTTTAAGTGGGGTTCGTGTTGTTCAGTTTGTTACAGTAGGTTTACATATTGTAATGTGTATACTGTTATTTGACTTTTGACCGTTTTCAGTTTTTTTTTTTGGCATGACACTATTAGTTTCTTTTTGACTTATGAGTATATAACAAAACAATTTACAAAAAAACAATATGACAGATATCAATTAACGAATCAGAAAATTAAAAAAAAATCAAAAGCAAGATTCGATTCGTCAATCCCTTGGCTACATTAATGAAAGGTATAAAGGAAATAAATCCACGTATACTAGTTTACTTAGAATGAAGCAACATTCTAACATGACGTTCTTCAAACGCTTTGTGTACACACCCGTGGTAAAATATGAATATATTGTTTGGGCTGTTCCAATCGTACTCCCGCGTCATATGTTTTTTATGAATGAGCTACCCGACGTCATAGAACGATGACGTAAGAATATAAACATTTTACGGGAAAATACACGCTTGTGAAACCGAAAATCATCACAACAAGGAAACGTAAACAAACGATGCTAAAATGTGTTATACATGTATAAGCCATTTTCGGTATACATATGTAGGACTCTGAACCGCGATGGTACTTCGAACAGCGATGGTCACGCTGAAGTGCGATGGTTTGACGCTGAAGAGTGATGGTGGCATTGTGACGCTATCTTTTTGATAGCTACGCCGAGGTGCGATGGTGGTTACGCTGAAGTGCGATGGTCTACACAAACTACATTTGCAATGCTTTTCATGTCGATGTAGAAGTCAATGTGTATGTTTAAGCAGTTTAAAAGGTGGCTTATAAACTTTTACTACTACGGGAAACGGAGAGAATTGGTAGATAGTGGAAAGTTAACCTTCTGTAGCGATTTTTTTTCGATATCTATAAAAGGTTCTGTTTTACGTACGTTGGAGCGTGAAATTCACTTGATACATAAAGATCCGTAGATAGACTCTCTTCATTATTATATTACGGTAAACGAGGAATTCATGAGAAAAACAACGTATAGATAAAAAGTTAATGCAGAATTATGTCCACATGTAGAAAATCAAACAGGACGATCTCTCATTTAGGGAGCAGCTATTTAACTTCAAGGGTTAGATTTTTCGATTCTATCAATCAAATTATTTTTTTTCCAAATTTAACACTTTAAGGTATGGGGAAAAATCTGGTAACAGAATATTGGTTTTTGTTATCTGCTTGACCACAATATTTTGTTTCATCAAATTGGGGATCAGAATATTTTTTTAGGAAAATAAACATACTCCCCCTTTTGAAGTTAAATGGTCAATCAATTAGTATGCAACTATCGCCATAAACAATAATGAATGTTAATGTATATACTAACTATTAAAAAATCTACTTCTCATGATAATTGCACGTCTGTAGATTTAAAACTAGCAATCATGCGTTAAATAGATCATCGCACATCAGCGTACGGACCATCGCACTTCGGCTTAGACCATCGCACTTCAGCGTGACCATCGCACTTCAGCGTCCCCATCGCACCTCCGAGTCCTACATATATAAGACATATAAGTAAAATTATCATTTAGATTCATCCAAACCTATCTAAATATGTTATTGGAAATTTCACAATTATACCATGGTTCTGTTGTATATGGTCTTTGAAAAGAAAAACGAAAGATACCAAGACTTGGCCGTGGTCGCCTGAATGTTTTGACATAGGAACAAAAGAGTCAGTGTGGGGCCATTAAGCTAAACTGCCCACTTTGCACCAGCCGATATATATATAAATAAATGCCTTGTGTAGGAATCGAACCCACTGACACATACTCCGTTGTCT